CGGCGAATCCGACAGCGGGTTCCTTATAATTATATTTTGACATCTTTCCTGGTGTCGACATAATCTACGTGGTTTTCGCCTAAATTTTATTTTTCTCATTGACATTGGTTGAAAAAAAGGCGCCAATGAGAAAAATAAAATTTAGGCAAAAACCACGTAGATTATGTCGACACCAGGAAAGATGTCAAAGTATAATTATAAGGAACCCGCTGTCGGATTCACCGAAAAATTTTGCACCTAGCGCCCAATTTTTACCTAATTTGGTGCTGCGCGGCAAAAGTACCTAATTTTCTAATGTTTGCTCGTGTCCATTTTCTCTTTTTACATACATTAAAAACTTATAAAACTCCACCACTGACAAATAAACCTGTTCCAAAGAAAATGGTACGTGAAACATCTTCGAAAAACAGTAAGTAAATGGGTATCACAAGTGCCTTCCAATGTAAAAAAAATATCCGAGAATATTAGAAGAATAATAATTTTCACTCATTTTTGTGAGAACAACTGACTATCATTAGTTTTAAACGAAAAATATTAATGATCAGTATTTGCAAAAAAAACAATAATTATAATCATTTGTTAAAAAGGATATTAATTATAATTAGTTTTTATAGAAGAAAATATATCTCGAATTTCTTGAGGCAAAAGTGTTAATCATCATTAGTCTTTCAAAACAAAATACCTAATTAATCAGTACTTTTTCTGAAAAAATCTTATGATTTTCACTATCTTTTAAACCTCGGATTTTGACGTACGGGAACTCTGGTCTCTGACTTTGTATTGGATCTTCAACCTTATTCTTCCCATAGCTGTTGTCAGCGCATCGTTGAAATTCACGTACGTCAATATTGGAGCACCAGGTCACTGCAATGTATATAATCAATCGACGTTAGCCGTTTACATTCAACAATTGTTATTTATGCGATCAGTCAAAATAATTGAAAACACAAATGTACCGGCTCATTTACTTGGAGACAGCGCATTTTCGTTGTCGGCGAATTTAATGAAACCGCAACGGGAATTCCCGTGGAGACTTCGGGAACGGGAACACGGGAACGGGAACGATACTAAAAGTTGACGTTCCCGAAAATCGTTTTGTTTTATTTTTATATGTATTGAAATATGTTTATATAACAGCTTTTTAACAACATTTAAACAAAACTCAGTTATATGATTAGCCAAAAGTAGCCCCAATCATAATTTTATTTTTTATTTAATGTCATATCACAAGTTGCGCAATGTGTGATGTCGCGAGACGCTAGTGGATGATAGGGATACTTCTCACACACGCGAAAAATGAAACAGGAATATGAATTTCGAAAGCATTACGGGAACGGGAACGAAAATATTTTTACGGGAACGGGAATGCGGGAACGGGAACAAAAATTTTTTGCACGGGAACGGGAAACGGGAACGAAGAAAAGTCGTTCCCGCAGGACACTAGCGTTTGGTCAGTTAAAAAATCGTTTTCGACTATTACATCGAGAGATGGAATATGATATTGACAACGTCGCAAACATCATCAAAACAGCTGTTATTTTACATAATTTTTGTGTCAATATTCGTGATAATGTTGAAGTTGGGTGGGAGTTACCGAACCCTTATACAAAAAAACTGAATTATACGGCAACAACACATATTGCCACACAAATTCGTCAAGCACTGGCAACACAGTCCATTGAATACTAAAATGTATGTCTTTGTTTTTTGATGAATGTTGCTTCTGTTATTCTACAATTTATATACTGACGAGCCTCTGAATTAGATAAGTATACTATTTTTGCTCTCCCCTCTCATTCATTATAGGTGCTTTGTGATATGTTTTTTCTTCTTTCTTTAGAGAACTTCAAGATGATATCGATGATGATTTGACATTCACTATTATTTTCAACTAAGTTATTCCTTCATGTTTACTTTTATACACAGCATTAAATGTCTTGTTTTTTATTGTCTTCTTTTTTTAATTGTTCATCGTTTATTTTCTTATTTTGATTCCATCATGAATCATTTTTGCTTCTTTCAAATGTTGTTGCAAAAATCGACTGTTTGTACATGCTTTTGAGAGTAGCAAAGGAGTGAATTACCGTCACAAGACTTCGGTAAAAAAACCAGCGAAAGATCTCGGGCTTCAGGCACAGTGTGCATTTTTCCATAGGCCATGCGGACATTTGCTATAGAAGCAGTCTGAAAGTCTATAAACACCTTTTTTATAGGTTTTCCGATATGCTCTTTCCAATAGTGTGTTTTACAAAGTTCCAAGACACTTTCAACTGGGTTCTCCACAGATCGGATCTCTAGAAAACACACACATAAGTATTTTGGAACTTTTTAAAACACATTATTGGAAAGAGCATATCTGAAAACCTATAAAAAAGTATTTGTAGGCTTTTGGACACCATAGCAAATATCAAAATTCTTAGTCAAAATTGTCACGCTATGCTTCGACTCTAGCGTTTCATTAGATCCAACAAATTTTTTGCTCAGAAAAACCTACTAATCGCACAGCATTCAATGCAGTTTGACCCGCTGACTCCAAATATGTCATTTTTATTGAAGAAAAACGCTTCTGAACTGGGAAAACTTGGAAATATCTCAAAAATCATGGTTTTTTGGAAAACCTGTATCTAACGAGGGAACCTATGGACATGCCCACCACCGATTCCGATGATTTATACATGGTTCGATACACCATGAGGAGATAGTAAAAAGCCTAAAAGGATTTTTTTCGATGGCTCTTGAAGACCCGGTTTTCTGGAAAACCAGTTTTTCAGAAGCTCTAAAAAATAGCCAGAACCCTTCCTTAATAAGGCATGATTGTAGTCCGCAAATTTCTGATTTAAATGAGACATCTCCGACCTCTACATGACCTTTCTTTGCAAAGTTATAGAATTTACAAGAAAAGCCCTAAATGTTCATTGTAAGCTCAAAGCTATAGAAATAAGAAATTAATTTAGGACTTTTCTTGAAAATTCTATAACTTTGCAAAGAAAGGTCGTGTAGAGCTGGAAGATGTCTCATTTTAATCAGAGATTTGCGGGCTACAATCGTGCCTCATTAAGAAAAGCTTTTAGTTATTTTTTAGAGTTTCTGAAAAACTGGTTTTTCAGAAAACCGGGCCTTCAAGAGCCATCGGGAAAAATCCTTTTAGGCTTTTTACTACCTCCCCATGGTGTATCGAACCATGTATAAACCATCAGAATCGGAGGTGGGCATGTCCATAGGTTTCCTCGTAAGTTGAGGAACGTTTATGCTAATTTATGCTAATTCTGTTAATATAGGCCATGTAGAAAAACATTCTGGCAAATCTTCACTGAATTTAAGCGCGCGCTCACTTTACTAAATATAGCTGTTGGAAAACCGCTTACAAAGACCTTTTACTTTTTGCTCGACAGTAATAAATCCAAATTAAAAAGTATTCTTTTTATAGATACTGGATTGTATGCAGATTCAGAATATGGTTTGAATTTACTTATCAGTCTCTTCAGTTTTGTGAATAATAAATCATCGTACCGACACCGCTGATTTCAGGCTAATTTTTGATCTGATGATTTTCCATGCTAGTTAAACTTTTTAACAAAATGTTTAATGCCATCAGATAAAACTTGTCTTGAAGTATATGAATCACTATTTGAATCGATGAAAAATCTACTTTCGTTTTCTCACCTCATGTCCGCCTGGATGCACACTGTGTCAGGGTAAGTGAAAGATAGAGTAACGTTTGGGTTTCTTTGTTACATCGCTGAAAGTACTACTTGCAGCATCCTCTTCCTGTTTGAATTAGAAATAGTGCCTTCGAAGTATAAGAATAATTAACAGATAGTCAGCAAGCATACGGGTATTAATTGCATCAGCTGAAAATCTTGCTGTTGATAATTTTACCAACATAATTCTTTTATGGTATAATTTAGCAGATTTACAAAATCATACAAAACACCATACCATGAGAAGTAACTATGATTATCCAAATACAGGATTTCCAAGTAACTTTACCTTTTCTTATCACAAAAATGCTTTCGAATCATAAAATATCATGGTTGTAATTACCAGGCGATTTTTAAAGTTTTTCGTCTTTATAAAACCAACTGTGCCATAATTAATCAACTAGAGTTGTCTGTCCGCCTAACATTTGCGCTGCCTCGGGAAAAAGAACAGAATAAAAGAAATATTATGTTAAACAGAAAACATTTTCCTAAATCTCCTATATTTATCCCACAAATATAGGAGATTTAGGAAAATGTTTTCTGTTTACTAGCATAACAGTTCCGGGACTGTATTTGATTCCGTGTATTTTAATATGTTTTTTTGCTTCGTAAATGGGTAAATTCCGATTAAAAAAGATGCCTCCGGAAGCTGATCATTCTCTACTAAAGAAAGATTTCCTAACTGATGACCAGCATATAAATAATGTTTGTTGGCAATATTGTCCGAAGTTAACATGTCAGCAGCAATTTGTTTTGGTGTTTATTACTAACGAGGGAACCTCCTGAGGTGCTAAAAACCTTTTTGAGTGGGACTATTTTTAAAATGTAGACCCTCATGGACTATGAAGAACCCCAACTTGGTTCGTGCGCAATCAGCTTTGTTGCGGAGATACCGAATTTTCCCCATAGGACCTGGATTTCAAGGAAAATTGGAGTTTTGAATTTCATGTTGTAACTTAGCACCTATTGTAGCCCAGACCAATTGTAGTCGGATGAAAAAAGCCCGAGCTCTAAACCTCTTTCTGTTAGGGTGAAATCACTTTTTCAAAACGTGCTCCATGTTTTATAT